CAAGTACTCTGAGCTTCCTGTCAGCCCAAATATGACCACTTAGATACCACACTCTGCATACGTCTTCCTCCGTCCTCGTCTATCGAACGCCATCCAACAAGTAGCATGATTACGCTTAGCAGCACCGCCACAGTGAAACGGCACATTAGTAGAGATCAATCTAATCAAAAGCGACGGCGTTGTCACACCTCAAAGCATACATCAGCAGGTATACTTCCATCACAAGCGTCAAGTGAACTATGTAAAATTATCCCAACTACACTCGCAGACTCACCCGTTCCAACTACTGCACTCACGCCATTGGCCACAACGTTGGTCACCCATTTATCCGAAGCATCGTGCTGTCTCCAGCACGCGATGCACAATACAACTATGCCGACTTCCCGTCGGATTGCAACGACCAATCGGCAAGCAGCCACACACGCCCCCCTCGGTCCACGTCCAACGGACGCCATACAACTCTGACCGCTTTTCACTTGCTAAATCTGCATGGCCCATCGATCTGACTCCATGGACTCCATGGGGGAGTTCCATTGAGATGACAGAGTCTTCGACTGCCTTTGTAGTTCCGCCTGCCTCAGTAGCTTCCGATGCTATATCTTGGTACACTCGGTGGCGCTATTCATCCCTTTTGGGTAGTTGGTTACTTTGGTACGGGTCAGAACGGAACGCTATCTGGAACAAGTCGCAGTTGGCTTCTTCAGATGAGCCCTATCCAATCCTTAGAGATGGTGTCTGCGAAGTATTGCATGATAGCACAGTTACGACAAACAATTGAGATCCTGCAGGTACCCCGGATTTGGCCAGTCCATCAGGTGTGGCGATGAATGTAGTCAAAACAAAGGATGGATCATTCGAATCAGAGGTTCGGAAACGTTATTTGTTAGAAAAAAGTGATATGGGTGATGTAATAGTTCCGGCTGTCGGCTATGTGCAAGTGGGAGACAGGTCTTCGAACTGTTGCTCCAGGGAAGATCACTATGGGTCTAATAGCCGAAGTGCGAGTGATCAGGCGTACCGTGGGATCTCCCATAGTGGATGGAGCCGCGTACGGCGATCCAGAGCAAGCACGTATAACAACTATCCACTGGAAAATCCGGATTGGACTTTAGTGGGCAGTGTAATCGCAGTTTTCTGTTTGCCCAAACATTTACGCATGCCCAACTCTTGTGTGAACTCTGTTATTCAACGACACTGAGTAGTGTAAAAAAAGGAAAAAGGTGTCAGCTTATACGCCTTAACGGCGCTTCGCTGCCGCGCGACCACCACCAGTCGCGCGCGGGCTGAGTATACCGCGAGGACGCCCACCCCTACGCGGATTCGAACCCACTCCTACGCGGATTCGAACCCACCCCTACGCGGATTCGAACGCACCCTACGCGGAGTTTCCCTACTCCTATTTCCTATGTCCGAATTCCGCTTCATTCATGCATTGGTGACGAACTGGTGCGGAAGACATACAGTCAGAAGTTTTGAGGATTGTTGCACCGGTAATTCTATATGCGCTGCATCAAATTATGGAACACAACTCCTTGCTACTGCCGTACAAGGACGAAAGAAGCAAGTAATGTGTGAACAACAGTGGTGGCACCAAATTGCTAAGTTGCGTCGGCAAGATGATTGCTCGGAGAAATGCAATTTCTGTTCGAGCCACATTACTATCGATGTGATGTTCGCGACTCGTCAACTGCAGAAGAAATGCCATGAGAGAAACCAGGCATTGTACTCCCTGTTCAATGATGTTCAAAAAGTACTTGATACGAAGAACCACGAGGCACTGGGATTGCTGTTGGGTAAAATTGGCAGTCCGAGCAAATTAGATACTTTAATTGAATGCATGCACAGTGGTACGGGGGTGAGGGTGCAGCTACGTGGACAAACCTCGGATGACATTGACGTCTTTGGTGTAAAGCAAGGATGAGTTATAGCCCCTCCGTCATGACTTCCTGTGCTTTCAATACCTGCGACTATGATGTCCGTTCGAGCACCGTAAGGTGGGTTGCTGAACATACAACGTTTCGTGGTGAGAACCCGAGTGCCTGAGGCAACCATCCGGATGTTGTCGTTAGTGGAGGACTGTGCGTTGTATGCACACACAGAGAATGAGCTACAACGCATGACGACGGCAATGAGTGGGTACGAAATCCTTCAGGCAGTAGTTTGCATCCCCAAAGTGCCTATGTATCAGGACGCAGACCCTAACCAGATCGGTCGAATACAACGTCCAGCATTCCGACCAGAAGATGATTCGCTTGTTTTATGGTAGTGACCTTGGTTCAATCAATGACATTTCCCCACATTTACTGTTGCTAGGTCATCTAGAAGAAGGACATGTTAGCTCAGTGAGAACGTATCTCACGCACTTCGTTTCTCTTCTCGCAAGTGTTACATTTTCGGCGTATTTCAACTTCTGTTTTGAGTCAAACGATTGAGCTTTGGCGGTCGGCCCGTTGCCGATTTATAGAAGGCCACAACAACTAAGTTTTCCTCCAAGATTGTCGGGGACCCACTTTGCACTGAACATTGGTAAGCACACACTAGAAGTCGTGCAAAAATTCTACTACCTAAGCACCCATATCCACGCTTGTGGAGTGGAGGATGAGTTTAATAAACTTTACAGCAAAATCTCGAATCGGTTTTGATAATGTTCACCAATTTTGGCATCAGCGTGACTTCCCGCTTGACCTGAAGAGTAGAGCCGACAATACAACCGTGCGTTCAACCATCCTGTGCTGCTACGAAACCTGGCGCAACAGATAGACTAGTTACGTTTGACCACAGGTGATTTCGCAGCTTAGCTCAACATCTGCTAGAAACAACGCAAGAGCGATGAGCATATCTGGTAATGTATTTATGAAGCAGGAAAAGCGAGTGAATCAGCCAGCACCGGTATCTCACGCACCGGGCCCCGATGGCTAAGTCATGCACAGTGCATGCCAGTACATCACCCGTGACGTGTGTTGATTGTGTAACTGGCGTCTGGATGGAAGAAGAGGAAGGAATGGAGCCGATAGCTTGGTCCAGATGAATGAAGGCTCCCATTTTGAATGCGGCCTCGGAAGGAGCCTTCAGACATCCGGCTCGAGGCCACAAAGACGATGATTACTAATGGCTGGAAACATTCGTTGGCATGGTTAGAAGCCAGTATTATTGGCATTATTTGTTGTCGCCACACGAGTTGTCCTAGATGCATAATAGAAAACAAAGTTGTACAAGTATTCTTCTCTGTACGACCATCTATGTCCAGTGAACCGTGGCACAACAGCTGAGGCGCTTACCAACTCAGGCTAACATGTGGAGTGAACGATTTGATGATGAAGAAATTTGTGAGCGCAAACAAGCGTAGTTCAGTGTAAATCGAACGCAATCAAACCACCGTACGCTGCTGATGCTCACTTTCATCGAGATGGTAAACTTAACGGCAAACACTAATAGTGCAAGCAATGAGTAGACCACAAAGTGCATTTTCAAATGCCCGAATATAAGTAGATCGACAGAATGTGAGTGTTAAAGGAGTTCGCTAGTAGAAACTCCTCAAGTCTGGTTCTAAGTCGCTAGCCTCAACGGAAGTTCAGACCAGATCGGCTGGAAGTTCACTGACCAGAAGCTAATCAGTGACAGTGTTGCTTCTGTTGGAGTCGGCCGATGACAACACTTGGGGTCAGCCAACAAGAGCGTTTCTTGCGTTTGGCACTTTTTGGTCGGTCAAAATTTTCCGCTAGGTCATTTCGCTTGAATTACGTAATGACACTAATTTGCACTGATTCAATACTGTATTTCCGGGTTCGATTGTAGGTTTCAACGAGATTTTTGTCTTCTGATTTGGAAGTGTCTGTACCGGGGTTGGAAGAGCTGTATCGGTTATCGTTTGTTTTAGCGGAAACATAACTGAGGTCAGCCGCGGATTGACAAGTTCGAATTGGGCGGCATCCTCGTATGATATGAGAGAAAAAACACTACATTTGCGATGTTAAAAGGATTATTCCTGTATGAAGCGCATGAGAGCGTTAAGTGGACAACCGGAGGTCCCACTGGTGGTGCTCCGCAGTCCTCCTACACAACGGTAATAAGCAAGTACAAAAATGGAAATATAATTGAAAAGATATCAAAGGAAAAATGAAAAGAAGTTACTCAACTATCGATATAAGAATTAAATAGTGAAAAAGTTCCAAGCCTGTCAGTAATCACATCCTACGGTGTATATGTGAAAGCAAGCCTTGCAAGAAGCAAGCAAAAGGATTGAGTGGCGTGCATAATGGTCAAATATGCATAATTGCCACTGGCACTCGCAGAGGATGGTAGAGTGGACAATGATCAGAATGCCAGTGCCTTTCAAGCCCTCACAGCACCGCCGGTTGGTATGAGGTAGCAGCTGGGTGGGGCAAAATGGCTCTTTGCATCACTTGTACAGCTGACGAGAGATAAGGAATGTTGACGATTTCCAGACAATCGCAGCTGTCAACTAGTACAGAAGCGGTCGCATCTGAGGCTTTCCGTCGGGTAGGTGGGTGGAAAATGCGAGCAAATTAGATAAGGCTCTGCTGAGGCTGAAGTGCATTAAAGTTGCAACTAAAATCCTCCTAGTCATTAGTAATATTAAATGTTTCAAATGCTATGGAGGTAGCGTCTAGTGAGAGGCAGTCATGACCTCGGAGGTTAGCCACTGTCATCTGCACTGATAGGAAGCTGCGTGGTAAGGCAAGATAGGTCGCGTTATGTCCCGGTTAGACTGTAAATTAGTTAACTCAAAAACCGTCTTCCACGGCTTAGTGGCCTAAGCTGCCGGCTAGTTGGCGTCAGTTTCTAGCGGTCATGGGTTCAATTCCCGGTAGGGGGCCGAAGGATGAGCACCACTGATGGGAATCCGGTGCTTTTCTGGGTCGGGGATTGTGCTATGTAGCTTTTGAGCTGTTGGGACGAACGCATTAAAGTTCTCCTAGTCATGAGTGGTACAATAGTAGTCGGTACGGATGAACACTAATGATGGTTCCCAAACTCACCAACTGGCGATCCAAGGTGGCTTTAGCCAAGTCAGATCGTTCCATATCTCTTTCCTGCAGCAGCAGCCCGATATGCTCCTCCTTTTCACGGACCAGACGCTGTCAATAAATAGTACAGATGGAGAAGAATGATCGCGGAAAAACTCGGAAAGGAGTATAGGTCAACTACAAATATGTCACTGTGAAGACCCAGTTATACTTTTTGGAGTGGATAAAGCCCCATGAAGCAGGGGCAGGTCATGAGCGCAGTTAGAAGTAAATAGCCCAGTCGAGGACATCGGATAGAGTGGTGTGTGATGAGGTAGCAAGACAAACAGTTGTGGGCTCGAGGACTGAATACACCAGTTAGTTCCACTACCATGAAAGTCCAGTAGCCAAGGTGAAGGCTAGTACGAGCGATATCCATTGATTTGATTGCTTTCCTAGTGACAGCCTCTATGAAATGAATGGGCTGCTAAACGTATGGCCAAGAGAACTCAGATTTGGTAGAGTGCATAAGTCATCATCAGCTGCAACAGCACGACTATCACAAATACTACTATTCCAACCAATGCTAGGGCAACAAATCTATGCCTCGTACTAGTGTCTTAAAATCAGATAATCATAACGGAGTCAAACTCGGTTCTATATTATCAAATAATGAAGGAAAACCAAATGTACAACATAGATGCAGTAAGCAAGCAGTAAAATTCATGATACCCGCATTATTGAGGATACCGTATGGTCACACACGGCTGCTATTCGAGTGAGGATGAGACACCATATGTGAGGAGTCCCTGTGGGATTTAGTGCTGAACAAAAGGGTTCCTGATGGACATTCTCCATCAGAGAAAGCAATGCCACTACTCAGCGGCTGTAATCGAATTCCAAAGGAACAAAACCGCCGTCTAGTGTTGTCCAGGACATAGATCGACCACCTGTGACGTGTACTGAATGCACAATAGTCGTTATCAGATGTGTCTTCTGGAGCATCAAATAATATTTGCGCCAATGGTCGGTGTTAATCGGGAAAAATCGGTTCCAGTCCATATCCTGGTTGAAATGTTTCAACACAGTATTAAAAACCCTCAAGCAAATACTTTAAGCTGTATTTTGTAATTAGCTTAACAGAAATAATGGTGTATTTAAGACTGAGAGACGGCTAAACGATGGACCCGTTGAAAACAGGCTGGAGCGATGCCCATCAATGCTGATACATGATAATGGGAAAAGGAAACCCAAATTCAAGCCGGGCCATTAGCATTTCAACAGAAGATGACCATGGTCAAAACACAGAGGGTATCGTTGATGTTCTTTCGACTCATTAGCGGCCGCCTAACTGATCGTAGTTGCGAGTGAACCTGGTTTGATGACGTAAGATTTCACGGTTTCTAGAGCCAAAAAAACTGGGACTATCTTACTCTTCTGTGTGGAAGGAAATAAGCTAAACAAGTCCATCCATAGGCACAGTGCATTCTATAACAGGCAAGTCGCACAAAACACAGTGGAACACGAGGATTAGATTGTGTCGCTGTAGTGATTATGATTGGTAGATTAGGGGGGACGGAATCAAAGCGGAGCCCGTGAACGGAAAGTGGGACAGGTATCGTTCACATAAGCTGACTTTAATTGCACAGGTCAAAATGACACTACAGAATTGGTTCGGCCTGGTATGATCGAAGGTAAGCTTGGTTCCCGACGGAGTACGAGTGGATCAGTGCGAACAGTAGCGGGCGAAAAGCAAGCACGAGTCGATGCACGCAAACAGATCACATGGCACCGAGGACATGAACAGGTTAACAAAAACAAGACCTACTTAGAGGCAGTGTTTGGTAAAGCCCTAGTTGACAGAGCGACAATTGTGGAACATATTACGAAAATGTTGAAAATTTAAGTGTGAAGAGTCAATGGATGACACGTGCCGACAAAGGAGGAGTGTAAATGAGTCCGCCTTTTGACGCAGCAGCTGTTAGTTGACCAAGGAAAACTGACTGCAAGTTGAGCCCCAGGATTGCATAATTGATAAGATAAAATAGACTTCCAGGCGATGCATTAACAAGGATGGCATCGAAAATTAGTGCTGAAGAGAAACAAGACAACCACCAAACCGTTGTCTACTTTTTCGATCGACTGAGTAGTGTGCAGGGCGTTGTTTGAGAGTGTTTTCCAGAAGTTACTAACAATCGCGAGGGAACAGTGTGCGGTGTGAACCATCACTATCTATTCGCTCTGTTCTTCCGACTAGCGCTCAAATCGACTTGTATACTGTCAAGTAGTCGTGAGGGTTCAACCAGTAACCAGACTAAGGTGAATGTTACCGACGAAAAAAGCACCACTTAGACTGTTTGGGTTGTAGTAGAATAGTGACAATGATTAGCGCATTAACTGAAGATGCCTACCTGAAGAACCTGCGTGTTGGACAGATGATCATTTTGACTGGAACTATTGGATGCAGAGGCAAGGCGAGGATTGCCAACAAAAGCCGTCTTACTCTGAAACAGATAACAAATCGTGTGCACTCAAGTGGACATCATGACTAGCAATGAACAATGACACACACAAAAAAACATAATCATTCCAAACAGCTGCTGACATCCGTTCTTAGTGATTTGTACAACTGTCTCAGAGAAACGCGCTAGTCGGGAAACTAGGGTCTAGCAATTCGATTGCATAAGATGTTCTCCGGGAGAAGCAAAAGATAGTACGCTTACAAAAAAAGGTTGCAGATTTTAAAAAAAAACTACCACTCAAGTAGCAGTTTCCTCTTTACTAAAATAGAAAATACAAGCTCTTACCTGCGCAGTAGATCCATACTGAGCACGATAGGAACGAGAAATTGAACTTATGTTGGAACAGTAGGATAACAGGGATTCTTGGCTCATGCTGAAACAAATCGGATGTGCGCAATGATTGAGCAGTCAGTGGATAATACAAAAATTATCAAATAAATATTTGAAAGAATAGACGTATGGGTTGCACTCGAAAATTAGAAGCCTAAAGCAAGGGTAATGAAGAGATTTACGCAAAATGGGAGGAGGAAGCGCGCCAAGAAAAATAGGTTGACCAGTTTCGTGATGGATATAGGAGTGGTGGTGAATGTCGCTCAACGAGAAAGGTTCTTCGAGTCGTATGCCCTATAAATCATCGCAAAAATGAAAACATTTACGTAATCTTCGGTTCCATCAGGAGGAGAACATGAAATACTAGCTCAGTCATCACCCCTTGACCAACTGTGATCCCGGCAACGAAGTGTAGTGGACCTGCTTGACACGACTCGAGTCCTCAGGATAATACTCATTCACAAGGGTGAGAAGATGAAAAGAAAGTGGAATGAAAAGAAAAGAAAAATGAGCAAAAGTACTCGGGGTGAAACATGCAGGAAACCGAATGTAGGATTGTCGTTGACTCCGTGAACGTGCAACGGCAGATACTCCTAGACTACCATGTAGTCTTCGTGCAAAATGGTCAAGTTTCCAGCCCTTAGAGTAACAACGAACCTATTGCAATACTGACGCCTTATCTTTGACTGACGGGCTGATACCTCTCAATCAATAAGACCGAAACTTTGAAAAGTCACAAGAGCGGAATATGTTCTCGTGGAAGTACTTGAGAGCTAACGCTTAGGAGCATTATGTCATGCATATACTGGTCGAAACTATCATGTATAACCCGATTCGCAAGATTACCATTTCGATGCAGTCAATGTACCTTAAATCTGAAGACAAACACGGGACGCCTCAATCTGCTAACATTTGTGGAAGAAATACGGCGAACTGCTCACCGTTGTTTGAGTGCCAAAGCAGGTGACGCAGGAGGTTCACGTAAATCCCTCCTAGAATCAAGACAAAGTCTGGACAGAAATCAAAATCTGTCATTCAAGAACAATAAAATTCAGGTGCTGTTTAAATGCGGCAGCTTTCTAGTAGCCATTTCTCGTCGTCGCTTCCCATATTATTGTCCAAGTTTGTCCACTGTAATCGATCCAGCCAACGCCCGGAGCCACGTTGAGCTTGGTTCATGCGAAATCGTGACACCTCTGCCTTATTCATCTGGTTCGCGTAATGCTGATCGATTTGCGTTGCCGGCACAGAATTCGTTTTGTGTCTACTCCGCTCATTCAATGAACCAGCCGATATTTCATGCCGTGCCGCTGGCCTACCTTTGTTGCAGTTAGGCCCAACATTGTCTAAGCCAAAGTAATTCGTCCTCATCTGTAATCACGCTGCGCTTCGCCCGTGCTAGGCCACATAGATTCTGTCGCACCTCTCCGGATCGTTCGATTGTGGTTAGCTCACGTGAGCAGTTCATTAGCCTTGTGTCTAGCCCGTTGAGACGAGGCAGAAACTACCGTCACAGTGGCAATGTAGGATAAATTCCCAGGGGATCCGAGTAATAGCGGTGTTTAATCAATTCAATGAAACTGCAGTTGGACATGCAGTACAAGTGGGGTTTCGAAAAGATCCTGAACGAAAAGCGAAGATGCGAGAAGGAATATGAGTGCAAACGAACGTACCGATTACGCGAGTTGCTCGACCGTCGTGCCGAAGTGCGCGTACCCGGAGCGGCCACCTTGTTTGCGGCAGCGAACAGGCCGAAATTCGGTTTGCAAGCAAAGTATCTAAAAGTATGGTGAAAGGGGAACCCTATAATATCCAAGTTGTTTTTTCAACTCCAAATGCCTGTAGCTTCATTGTCTAAATATCGCAACAGAAGGGGGTGATAACAGGAAAAGCGAAAAGAAAAAGTAACTTGTGAGACATGAGTCAAATGGAACCAGTGGATCAAAACTCCCGAAGTACAGCGAGACATGATAAGAAAGCACAGGAAGTATTACTATACATGGGGTCAAACAGCATTGAGATACATGAACTATTGAACTATCTGTGCGTTAAGAACAGGCGAACACATGAAAAGATGGATCGATTGTGATAATCAAGTCAATGCAAGGCAAAATGAGATAAAATTTATGTAGACAAGTGGGTGTATTTTCCGCAGTTCATATTATCAATTGCAGATGCACTAGACATCATCAGAAAGGCAAACTATTACAAACGGATAGAAAAATGAGAAGGGTACAATAGCTTCACTCGAACGAATGGTTCCGCTCTTTAGAGCAACCATCGCACAATGCTGAACAGAATATTCGGGATTCGCATTCAGTCAAAATGAGAGTATTACTTTAGCTTTTATCGTAACTGGTTTCAGTCAACGTTTGTGACCAAAAGCATTAAATCGAGAACCGGGCATAGTATTCCAGCCTTTGTACTCAAAATGTGGATAGAGTGGGACGGTTTTAGTGACCTTGAAAATAGTGTTGAACAAAGAAGTTGTTACATTATTCTTGCAAAATGATATATCTACGTAAAAAGGAGGCTCAGCGAAAAAGGTAAGATCCGTCTAGTAGTGTGATAAACATGAGATAGATGCGCTGCATAAGTTAGTATGAGAAGGAGAAATACTGGAAATACTGAGTACATTTGATACAAATATTAGTATTGTGTAGATGGCGGTGTTTAAAAGAATAGTATCATTGAAAAATCAGCACAAAAGCAAAACAGTGTACTATTCCATAGAGGGTTGAATACTGGGCACCAAACAGCAATGGTAAAATAAGTTAATCAAATAAGCATATCAGATGACACATTCTCACCAATCACTCACATGTAATCAATAAAAGAGACAATAGGGACAAGTTCACGTGAAATCGAGTGTTGGCTAAATATTGGCTGACTGATGCACTTCACAGTTCTGCAGTAAATTTAGTGTCACTGGTAAATGATTTTTATACGCAGATCAAACACATTGACCTCAAGTAGCTTGGCACCATGGGGCTTCGGATTGCACACGAGGCCCGTGAACGATGTGTTGAGGTTGACTTGGTTACCAGTGCCGTGTAAATGCATCGCGATTGCTGGAGAAGGTCGAATTTTTGACTTACTTGGCTCAGCTGTCGAGGATTCCAATTGTTTGTGTAACCACTTTTTGATATGTTCGTCGATACGGTGCATTCACTGCCATAGAAGCTTTGGTCGCGTCTATATGAGCAACCGTAGTGCACCTGTAATATGTGCCTGTTTCAGTGATGCGCTTAACCGTTCCGATGTGGTTTTCATGGCAGACAACTCACACGAAAACTTGATGGTTAGATCAACAGATCTGTCTATCGGAAAGTAACCTGGACGGATTAGAATTTGCAGTCAAGTACATTTTCATCCAGGTGGCATGAACGAGCTTTACTCCGGACCCTGGTCCATTGAGCTCACGTGACTAGTAACCCATGCACGTTGGAAGCACAGCAAAAAGTGCCGTTGGAAGTGTTATAAGCCAACGACAATCAGATGCAATTCAGCATGCGTTTCAGTGACACAAAAACAATATCGAACGGTCCTCGTATGCAATGAGAAGCCCCACGGTCCCAAGCTGCTTGAGGCCACTGTTATCGATCTGGAACACCCGCTGCTCTGCATGCGAAAAGCAGTTGCCTGTGACACTGAATACATTTTGGTTTTGTGAATCGCATCAATCAGTCACCATTTGACCACCAGTCCAGTTAACGTGACTGTTGTTGACTGCATGTACGTTCTCTCAGCGTATGGTCATTCGAATCGAATTTACTTGCACTATGCACTGAGCCACCACACGTGAAGTTATCTCCACTGATTCCAGCAACACCAAGCGGTTTAAACGGCCCTCATGTCTAAAATCACACATACAAGTTTATCACTTTGAGCCCAAACGTCAGCTGTGTAACACCGTTCGACGCAGAAATCTCAAGGCTCTCCAACGATCAAAAGTTGGTTCCAATACGGTGTTTCTCAAGACGGCTGTAGGGGAATTTGTGCTCGCTTGTTCTGAACAAAACCGTAAGAAGACGAAAATTGGCAGATTCTAACATTTTGTATTGTCTCTTCAATGTCAATACAGTAACATGAAACTACACAGGTAGAGTGAGATCGAAACAAGTTAGGACAGGGTGGAAGACAGGTGTGACACCCCTAGGCTTAGGGCAGTCTTAGGTTTCCGAACAGCTGTTTCAGCACACAGAGTGCGGATTCGATACGACTGATCGCCTGTCGTGTTATATAAAATTGGCATCAGAAGTACGCTGGTACGCAGTGCCGATGCATTGCTGCCGCGCAACCACGACCAGTCGCACATAGGCTAAGAATACTGCGCGAGGGTCGCCCGGTCCCTACACAACCTCGAACCCGCCCTCACAGATTACAAGGCAGGTTTGTGTTCCTTAAGGTTACCGGTCGGATGTCGTATTCACAGTTTCATGTCACTGGACTGGCACTGAAGAGACAAGACGAAATGTTAACATATGCCAGTTTGCACCTTCTTACGGTTTTATTCAAAATACTATAGTGGTTTAATTTTCAAAAAGTTCTGTTATTCTGTCCGTACATATCGCTAGCATTCAGGTTCAGAAACAGACCCCTGCTCAGTCAGAGTGGACATCCAACAACCAACCAGTTCATTCCACCATCGTTATGAGTCGTGAAAAATTGGACGGTTGATTGACCTTACAACCTGTGCGAGACCACAAAAGTACGCGTCATTAATGAAAGCACCCGCTCGAACGGTAAATGTGACATATGTGCTAGCATCGACAAAAGATTCTGACCTGTAGATCAAACAATAGCTGGAAATGCCACACTGAGCCCCGCAAAAGGAAACCTATAGATTTAAACGTAGTTAATAAATTCTGACGAATGATTTTATTGGTTTGTAAGCATCTTAATACGAACCGTTTTCTGCATTTTTAATTCCTTTTCCTGTCCGGAGGTATCAGCACAAAATTACGGAGTGCTTCATGACATTCGTCAACATCAATTCCTATACACTTCGGCTGCCATTGAAGCATCGATCCTGAACCTCGCTTCTTGTGATAACTTGAACAGAAACTGTTTTTAACCATCTATTTAGAAAATTCAATCGGATCAACCACATAATCCGTGTCTCACACTGAGACAGAAACTTTTTCTTAATTTTTGTTTGCCTTTGACTCCATTCGCTACATTTGTTTGTAATGTTATATAGTTCTTCCTCCCCGAGAGCAACAGTCCAGGAGCAGATAGCATTCATCAGTGCACAGCGATATCAAATGCTGCACTTTTCAAACGCATTCAACGGTTGGATGAACCAGAAAAATACGTTCAGAACAGCCTTGTATATCAATAATTCGAGCAGTCATCAATTACGGCGATCCGGCTGTAAATTTGATCGAGAGACGTCAGCCATTCTTGGCTTTAGCTAAACGTCATTGCCTTATTTATTAGCATTACCGTAATTATCCTTCTACCTCATTCTATATTCTTCTTTACTGCACTGTGAGCCAGGAATGGGTCGATATTCGGAGGTGACGAATTTAAGCTTCCAAGCTAATAAATGAACCCATGCAAGGTGTATTGCCATAGACTCACTGGCGAGTAAAGAAGTGCTTGACTAAAATAAGTAAAAGAAATGACGACTAGCCTGCTTTAAAGTCACACCAGCACACGGTCAGAAGAGACATGGAAGCGCGGATGAAACCTTTCGAGGGACTACTCTACATGGAGGCAGGTTCCCTGGAAACAACTGCACGGTTGGCCCTATTACTTACTAAAACATTTAGATTTATTTGCATTTATTATTACCATCAATCACTCCATCTAGTTGAAAGATTTAGTCGATCAATCAGCCCTGCAAATTAGTTTGGGAACTGTGCTGAAAATAGTCAAATATCATCCGTCTCATGGGCTCCCGTTGGACACAATTATTTGGCTAATCATTTGGGCTGTGCCTCGCAGCGTCGAGGAGTATAAACATCAGCTATTTATTCATTGATAAAACTAACGTGTTTTAACTGCTCTTAAATATTCCACTCCAAAGGTATAGGGATAAGTACCCTCGAAACCAGGAAGTGGAGCGGTAAAATGAAGGCATTTTATTTCTGTCAGGTGTACAAATCTATCCCAGTTGTTAGTTGTTTAATCGTTCAAATGAAAAAATATGAAAAGTTGACGGAAGCAGTTGAGCGATTGATGAACGCCAGGGATACACCTGTGAAAGTAAACGAAGCTACACTTGCATTTCAACGAACCTCAGTAAATTCCCCAAGCAGGCCAAAGAAGAGAACCAGGCATTACTAACCTCGCATCAGCGTCCAACTGTCCAATTCACTTCACTCCACTAAGTAGACAAGTTGTTTACAGTTTGCCTGCTTCTACTTCCTCTAAGTGTGCAGCAACCGGTAATTCAGTTGATATATTTGAGAGCCAAAACGACAGCCAGTCCACAGTAAAAGACAACTGGACATCATATGTGTAGATTACTGCCAGGAAAACACCGGAAGATATCCATGACAACACGTACCGGACTTGGCAAAACTGAGAACTCGTAACATGGGTCGCTATCACCAGTGCCACCCACAAATCCACAGAAAGCAACAGGACTTAGTATTCTTAAGCCGATAACCACCAGTCGTAAGCATAGTGCCTTAAGTCTTGTGTGCACTAACGTGCCCGAATTCAGATCCAATACAATAAGAGGTAACCGATAGAAGATCGTAATCAATGGGATTCCATATGTAATGACATCGGTGTCCTAGCTAACCCAACTACAATGAAACGCATTGCGCGTCACCCAAACTCTTCCTTACGGTGAGCCTCGATTATTGTACCTCTAAATTCCGCGGATGACACGGAAGCCGTTCTGCTGTCTGTGATTCAAGTACACAATGCATCAAACGGAGTGCGCATACTACCGGACATCCCGTGGAAGGAACGTTGCAAGGATCTGAACAACCAAGAGGGAAGCCGAAAATACGATAAGAAACCCGTCATTGTTCACGATGTCCCCGGGTCCCAAGCTACTTCATCCGAAGACGCTCAGGAACATGACCGGGAGCAATGGAGATATATTCGCGAGGCACTCTCTTAATGTCTTAACAAGGATTCACGTCTCCTGTATACAAAGGCTGTGACCCTAGAGTGCTACAGTTGGTTTTACTTTCTGAGCAAATGGTGCACATTTTCCCATAGAACCGGGCTGAGTTTCGAGACATGCCGCCAACAGAAATTTGGCTAAAGGCGGCAGGGACACGACCACAGGCTAGTGATTGCTGAACAGGGTTGACAAACTCAGCGATAACGTCCGTTGTGGAGTTCAGCGCAGCGATTAATCTAACAGACGTTATACCATCCAGACAGACACCGCAGGTTGCTATTGACGACCAGGGTAATCATGACCTGGAGTGTCCAGTGCAGCAAAGTATCACAACTTTATCTCGAGACCCGGTGACTTTTCAAAAAAGGAGTAGTAGCCGACTTCATGAGAGTAGGCTAAATTTCAAAACTGCTGTATACACCTTCCACTAAGCCTGTAATGTAGAAGGCACTCTTGTTTTTATACCAATGCAAAAGGTCTTTACAACAAACTGATAGAGCTTCGTCTGCGTCACGCCTCGATGTTGTGGAACCTCATCATGGTAATCGTGGCATCGTTGAGTGAAGTGATCACTGCCGCCGAAATCGTACTGTCTGGAATGTTCATTCTGTATAACGATCAACCGAATAGAGGAGGTGATGTCCAATCCAATTACCGCAGTGAGCTATAAATTGGACTCATCGTCGACGCGCCTTGGCGAAAAGAGCATCAGCAGCACGCCGGTACGCAATGCCGATGTTCCACTGCCGCGCAACCACCACCAGTCGCACGTGGGCTAAGGATACTGTGACGGTTGCCTGGTCTCTACACAGGCTCGAACCCGGGTCCCCAGATTGCAAAGTAGACATGTGATCCTTAAGGCTACGGGCCGGCGCTTTGATGCCGTTCGCACCCAAGACGTGATGATATCGTGTACCGCCCTCCATCGTCTACTTCAGTAATGGACACTCGTCACCACAGTTACATTCTCCCGGTTGGTGAGTATAATCTTAAGGCTCTAGAAATCTCGACCTGTCCCGGTGAAGGTTACAAAATCGAACTTCAGGAGCTAATCGTTTTATTATCACACTACAACCACGTTAACTTCCCCACAAGATCAAGGATGGAGAACAAACCAATTATCCTGGATCACGTGTTCACCAACAAGGGACTTATGATCGAAACGGTATCGATAGCTAGTCCTTTGGTCTGCAGAGATTATGCAAATCACTTGTTCAACGGCATCTGTTATGCAGAGTACTCCGCAGAAAACGCCGACGACTCCGCTTATCACCGATTACGGCGTTCTGACAACACTCATTAATGCA